CACTTTTCTTCTGTTACGGACTTGGCTAAATCAATGGAAACTCCATACTCTTTGTCTTCATTCTTCTTTCCTCGCCACTTGCTGTAACATCCCAGATACACGAACCCACAGCCCACAAACAGCCCCGTGCCACCCACCAGGGGGAGATGAAAACAGCTCTGATGACACACTCCCTTAGCTCCTTCCCCCTCTCACCCCTGGGCTCACTTGTCACCAGCTACTTCCAGCTGAAATGCATGGCGCCTCTCAGCAGGTGAGTTCTTCTGGCTTTACTTGAGGGTGAGGGCTTTTTGGTTTATTTTGTTTTTGTTTTGAAGACCAGCTCCCGTCTGGTGGCCATATGTAGCCATCTGGGCTTCCCATAAACCACCATAATGACAAGGCAGGACTCATAAAATCATTTTCGTTTTCCATAGACGGGCTAATTTGAATTTAAGATATGGTGTGTTCAGCATGTTCAGAAGATGGGACCCTCAAGTCAAGTTAACCTACTGTTAGATTTTTCTGCCATTCATCCACCCCGGGAGATCTCTCTGCTCCTGACCCTTTCAGCACCTCCTTGTCCCTGTGGTCCTAATTTGGGGGTAAGACTTGGCTCCCTCCAGGCTGTCTATCAATCATTTTTGCTCCTTATGCAAACACAGACAGTTTTGTCATTATTCTAAAAATAAGTGCTTTTAAGGAGGCTGGGAACCAGTTTCTCTTGTTCTGTTCTATAGCCATTTTTACTTGTAGTGGCAATAACCAGCCAAGCCTACTGTTTTTCAATGTGGTAATATGGTTCTCTCTCTGATATAAACAACTCACCTTTTGGCCTTGCAGTTTACTCGCCGGGGAGCATGATTATTTTCTTTATTGCCTTGTAAAATAGCTTGCCTGTCACATTATAGCTTAATTGGGAACACAAAATAATAAATAATTTAAAACAAGGAAAATTGCTGTCAATATGGGGAGCTGAATAAAAACACGGCCTGGCATACGTCCCTCCGGTGTCACTCAAGGGTTCTAGAACACAGGGCTTTAAATCATATTTGGCATCAAGCACGCCTTTGAAACTTTTCTGAACTTGTTTTTGCCTCCAATTTCCCAATGAAAATGGTTCAAATTATTTTGGTTTTTTTTCCAAAGCAGATTGAACCTTTCTTGTCATCAGATTTGTCCAACAGAAAGGATATTAATATTGCTCACCGTTGACCCATCTGTAAAAGGGGGCACAGAATAGTAACTGCATGTCTGGGTGGCTGAAAGGACTGACAGGAGGAAATCCATGTAAAGTGCTGAACAGAAGGCCTGGCACAGAGTAAAGACTGCAGAGATGTGAAGAATAGAGAAAGTCTGGTGCTTTTTTACACACATAAACATTCGGATGCAAATAGAACCAATGCCCTTCCCTGAAAAGATGGGTTTGACCACTTAAAGAGCTTACCTCTGGGGAAAGGAAGGAAGGGTGTGGAGTGGGATATGGTCCCTTTCTCGTTATTTACTCTGTGATGGCTGATTTCATGTGTCAACTAAAATTATGGGTAGGCTATGGTGCCCAGCTGTTTGGTCAAACTCTAGTCTAGATATTGCTGTGAATGTAGTTTTTAGATGTGATTAACAATCACATTCAGCTGGCTTTGAGAAAAGCAGATTACCCTTTACAAGCTAGGCCCCTTCCTATCAGTTGAAGACCTTAGGAGCAAACACTGAGGTTTCCTGGAGACCAGGAATTTTGCCTTAAGACTGCAGCATAAAAACCCTGCGTGAGTTCCCAGCCTGCTGGCTGCCCTTCAGATTTGGACTCAGGACTGCAATATCAATGCTTACCTGAATTTCCAGCCTGCTGGCTTGCTCTACAGATTTCAGATTTCCAGCCCCCACAATCCCATGAGCCAATTCTTTAAAATACATCTCTCTGCAGATATAGATATATACATATACATCCTATTGGTTCTATTTTTCTGAAGAATCTTGACTAATCTGCTACCCTTTTGTTCTATTTGAATTTATTTTTAACCATATTATTTCATAAAAGAAGATATTGGATTTCAGGGTACAGATGGATGTGGGGCAAACTCTTTGATACCTCCTCATTCAATCTCTGAGCCATGCAATCATGGGGACTGCTAGTGACACAGACAGTTTAGAAGCCACTGGAGTATGTCACCTTGTGGCTTCCAGCCAGGCATGTGCTAACTAGACTCTAATTCCAAGAGTTGCTGTTGGCTCCCAAATTGTGTCAGTTGTCAAAATTTAAAACACCTTTTAGTGATAATCTGGGGCCTATCATATATCATCAGGAAATCATTAAATTGCTGTAGTGTAATATGTGATATTGTCTATACAAGCACTTAATCTTCTGAAATGCAGAGATGATTTTGGGGTCTCCTAAGCAACTGTTTAATCTGAGTCACGAGTAGGGATAGATCTAGCCACTTAAGAGCTGTCTCATTCTGGCAAATCCCCTACCTTTCTGGGCCTCATTTGTTCTTGAAAATGAGAAAGGTAGAAGTAAATTGTCTTTTAAATTTACTCTCAAGTTCCACTAAGTAAAAAGCCCCATGAATATTGCACTGCCTGGTTCAGCTGCTGTCATACACCCTTTGCAGCCAAAACCAACTTTTTTCCTAGGAGCTTAGGCTCATGGGACTCACTTTGAGAAAGACAATGGGACACTGGCCCCAGCAATGGTTCATTAGTCCAACATTAAGTGGGAAAACAGAAGAGTCCTAAGGTTGGGGAACTTAGAAAAATGCCAAAATGTTGAACATGAGCAAAGTACAGATTAAGAGGAAAGCTTCATGTAAGAGGAAGATAGATTTCTAGACATCAAATGCCAGCATGATGCATAATTGGCAGTCTGTGCCTTGATCTGATGAACTTTGCTGATTGACACCATTATGTTGGAATCTACGGTATGGCTCCTACCTCCATTCTGTGACTGTTTTGTTTTAGGCACATGCATGCATTATTTTACTGAATCTTTACAACCAAGCTATGAGGTTGGTATTATTTTCCCATTTTTTTCCAAGTGATGATAGGTACTGAGGATCAGATTGTTAAGTAACTTTCCTAGGGCCAGATTATTAAACTGGTAAGTGGTGGAGCTAAGATTCTGTTTTTTGCAACCCCAAAAATCCATAGATATTCCTTTGTACATCTGTGTTATGAATGATTGCAAAAAATGAATGAGTGAATGCATAATTTGATTAGCTTGTTTGATAATTTATAGCAATAAATTACCCCATTCTTTGTATAACACATTTTACAATAATTTTCAGAACTGTACTTACATGGATGAGGAAGTAGTCCCCAAAATGTGAAACTTTGGTATTGCAGGTTCTCTGAGGCCAGAAAGCACGCAGAGCCAATGTTGTCTTTTTGAGTCTGAGAATTTGGTCAAACAAGGGGTGTTGTCAGAGACATCACAGGGCCACCCATACATAAATGGTCATTATTCTAAATTCTTTGTTCTGGGAATCGATGGTGAAAATCTCACCCTTGAGTGTCAAGCTGTCACACTGGGTAGATGAGATAAGTCACATATACTTGCGTCATTGCAATTGTCTCATAGTTAGTCATGCATGCTTGTTTTTAGGAATAGGTATTTGACGAAAGAATTCATGACCACAGGGCCCAACTCAGGAGTAGGCAGGCAGAGGCCGAGGTGCTGCAAACAGAGGGACCTCATGGCCATACCAATGGGAAAAAACAAAGTACTCCCAGCCCTCTCCCCCACCCAATATCCTCCTCCTCTTCTTCTACTGAGAAAGCCTCTTTCTGAGAGATACAGGAGGGATGTTGTCTCTAAAGAGTCATTGTTAAATTACATAATTTTTCCTAGGACAACACAGGATTGTGAGGAGTGAGTTGAACAGTGTCTTAGTCTGCTGTGTGCTGCTATAACAGAATATCTGAAACCAGGCAATTTACAGTGAGCAGAAATGTATTGGTTTATAGTCCAAAAGCTGGGAAGGCCAATAGTAAGGTGCCACCATCTGGCAAGGGCCTTCTTGCTGCGTCATCACATGGCAGAAGGTGAGAAGGTGAGAGAGGGGCTGGGGAACTAAACTCACCCTTTTATACCAGCACAAATCCCAACCATGAGGGGGAGCCCTGCATGGCCTTATCACCTCTTAAAAGTCCCACTTTCTAATACAGCTTAAATTTCAACATGAATCTGGGAGGGGACAAACATTCAAACCATAGCAGGCACCTTCCATTCTAGACTTTTGTTAGCATGGATTATTTGATCGAATTTTATTATGGAATTATACCGAGACAAGGGCCCTAATGATTAACTGGGTACAGTGTCGCGGGTGGAGCAGAAGAGCTGGGCAGCAGCAGAGAGCAGCATTAGGCCAGTCCAGTGCGCCAGTCGGGAGCTGGGCAAGAATAGCCCAGAGTGTGCACAGATCCTTGGGCTTTCCCAAACAGGAAACCTGGGCATTCAATACTTTGGATAGTTTGAGGGGAGTGGCAAACTAACGCAAAATATGTTAAAAATTTGAACTTGATATCCATTAGAAGCATAGTAATCCTAGTTTTGAAAAACTTCAATCAAAATCATTCAGGTTTTTTAACAAGTTCTAGAAATACATTTTCTAAATGAAATATGAATTGGATGTAATACAGAAATGGCAACCACATGCCTCATCTCTTCCCATCTGCTGGGTTTTCTGCAGCGTGATGTGGTAGAATGAAGCCTGGAAGAAGTGTCTTGGGTTATGAGTCCCCCACTCACTTGCTGTGTGGTCTTGGGCAAGTTTCATTTCTTTGAGGCTCGATGCCCTCATCTGTAAAATGAGGAGAGTGAATGGATGATTTTTCAGTTTTTTTCTAGGTCTAAAACTCTGTGATTCTTCCAGAAGTTTTTTTGTTTGCTTGCTTTGTCCTCTGCATTCTATTTCAATAGGAAAAGGGGAAGAGGAAAAGCAGAAAGAAAGAGCAAAAATAAAAACTTAAAAGAGATCCAAATATTAAATAAGCCTCAATCAAGTATCAAGCACCCTAGAATGAATAATGAGAAATTACTAATTTCTGATTAATTAATTACATTTATTAATGCTGATCATAATGTAGGAAATACACAGTGTTACCGTCACCATTTCACAGGTGTGGACTCCAAGGTTAAACATTTGACCAAGGTTAAGTAGATGTCTTAGTCTATTTGGAGAGCTATGATACAATACTTTGAAGTGGATGGCTCAGGAAAAACAAACTGATTTGTCGTCATTCTGGAGACTGGAAGTCCAGGATCAGGGTGCCAGCACAATTGGGTTCTGACGAGGGCCCACGTTCTGACTTGCAGGTGGCCTTCTCGCTGTGTTCTCCACTTCACATGGTGGACAGTTCAAGGGATCTCTCTGGGGCCCCTTTTATTAGGGCACTTACGTGATTTTGAGGGCTCTGCCCTCATGAGCCACTCACCTCCCAAAGGCCCCATCTATTCATACTATCTTATTGGCTATTAGGTCTTAGCATATGAATTTGGGTGGGGGACATAAACATTCCTTCTGTAGCAGTAGTTAAAGTGATCATTTAACACAAATAGGGGTGACTTCAGAATGCGTCTTCTTTCCCACACTGTCTTTGCCACACTGTCTCCCGAAAGGGGTAGAAAAAAAGAGGAATAAAGTTAGACAGTGGGAGTGGAGAGGGAAGAAGAGACGTTGAAAGATCAGAGGAGACGCATGTGACACGGACTACTCACAGTGATTCCAGCAATTGCTACACAGACGCCTCCCACACAATGGTCGTAACCTTGGTTCTCATCCACTGCGTGGGAAAGCTGCAACATGCTCCCCGCTGGCCAACGGTGGTTCATCCAGGGTGACTCTCAGCAGAGAGGTGTGCGTGCTGGGTCCAGCAGCGTCCACCAGGGACACATGTGGAGTTTCATAACAGTGTCTGGGTACCTCTGATGTCCTGGCTGGAGAAAGTTTAGAGACATAGCAAGGGAGACAGATGGATTAGGGAAGTGGGGGAGGACCAGACAGGTCTTCATTTCCCTACTCCTCTCCGTTATATGTCTCTAAAATTAACACTGCAAGAACTATGCTAAGAAGCAAGCTTTTATATTATAAGGATTAGAGCCACCAAATCAACCTTGTGCACATGGCGCTTCCATCACCTCAGGCTGTGACCTCTCATAGGTCTTGGTCCCCCAGGTTTGAGGAGATGAGTCCCCTTGGCTGAGGCATTTCTAACAGGGCTGGAGGATTTCTGCGGAAGTAGTTATGGGTGAGTCAGGACCTGGTGCTCATCCCTCTGAGTCAATAATGAGCCGATTTCTCAGTGGGTTAGGAACAAGTGGAGGTGGAGTCTTAAATAAGTGGCGAACCTGACCGCGAGCTCTCCCGGCACCTTCTCTCCAGGCAAGGAGGTTAATGCCAACGTGTTTCCTCAGTCCCAATTTGGGTCATTATATTTTTAATTATCTCTTAATTATCCCTATAGATTCAACAGGATACATTATCTTCCATTTCCTACCTTTAACTTGAAAGCACTGATGTGCTGCTCAGGCTGGTGACTAATGACCAAAGCCACATCTCCAAACCTTGCCTACCCTCTTCTCCACTCTCACGCATAATTCCCTCACCTTTTCTCATGACGTCTCTCTCTTGAGTCCTAAATAATGGCCTTAAATAAAGGCACATGCAGCCGGGCACAGGGACTGGTATTTGTAATCCCAGCACTTTGGGAGGCTGAGGTGGGTGGATCACTTGAGGCCAGGAGTTCGAGACCAGCCTGGCGAACGTGGCTAAACCCCTCTCTACAAAAATTAGCCGGGTTTGGTGGCTCATGCCTGTAATTCCAGCTACTTAGGAGGCTGAGACAGGAGAATCACTTGAACCTGGGAGGCAGAGGTTGCACTGAGCTGATATCGGGCCACTGCACTCCAGCCTAGTTGACAGAGTGAGACCCCATCTGAAAAAAAAAAAAAAATTGGAAAAAAGAAAGAAAGAAAGAAAAGCAAATGTGACTGGGCGCGGTGGCTCATGCTTGTAATCCCAGCACTTTGGGAGGCCGAGGCGGGTAGATCACGAGGTCAGGAGATCGAGACCATCCTGGCTAATACGGTGAAACCCCATCTCTACTAAAAATACAAAAAATGAGCCGGGCCTGGTGGCGGCGCCTGTAGTCCCAGCTACTCGGGAGGCTGAGGCAGGAGAATGGCGGGAACCCGGGAGGCGGAGCTTGCAGTGAGCCGAGATCGCGCCGCCGCACTCCAGCCTGGGAGACAGCGCGAGACTCCGTCTCAAAAAAAAAAAAGAAAAAAGAAAAAAGAAAGGCAAATGGCAGGTGTTGATCTCCTTAATGAATTCATTTGCCTTTTGTTAGTTCCTGAAGAGAGGGAGACAGAGGTCACACAAAGAAAACTGGGAAGGGGAAGGCTGCGTGTCCCCTGCTCACCTCCCTGCGCCTGGAGGGAGCGGAATCGGGAATCCCTTATGAAAGGCGGCACCCCCGGGACTGGCTCCCAGCGCTGGGGCTGGAGGGGCCTCGGTGAATGGCTGCCCTCTGAATCCCCTCCGTGCTTGAACTCGGGCCCTCCTCTCCTCTTCACGTCTCCCTGGGAAAGCAATACCAGGCGGAAAGGGAGAGCACCTCTGCTATCCGTGCACGGGGATTCACCCAAACCCATAGCGTCCTGGCAGGAAGAGGCGAGCGCTGGGGTCCGGCCTGCTGGGAGGGAAGAATGGAGAAGAAGGAGGAAAGTCCAAGAAGCCTCACCCTCATAGCTCATTTTGGGACAGCCGGCCTGCCCTGCCACACAGAGGTGCTGGGAAAGTGTGTCCGCTGAGGGACGCTTAGGGAGACCGCTGGTCACCGAATGAGGCTCTCAGCTGACTCCTCCTTAACTTGTTGGTGATCCCGTCCCAGGGTTAACCTAGACCAGGGTCTCTCAACCTCAGCGCGATGGACGTTCTGGGCCAGGTAACGCTCTGCTGTGGGGGCTGCTTCAGGCACTGTGCCAGGCACAGCGGCACCCTGGCTCTACCCAGGACATGTCGTGAGCACCGCTTCTCCTACGGTGACAACCAGCAGGGTCTCCAGACGTGGCCAAATGAGAAGCACTGATTCATATCTGTTCCTAGGCCAGGCATGGTGCCTCACGCCTGTAATCCCAGCACTGGTGAGGCTGACATGGCAGAACCACTTGAGCCCATGAGTTCAAGACCAGCCCGGGCAGCAGAGTGAGACCCTGTCTTTACAAAAACGTAAACATTAGCTTGCTGTGGGGACGTGTGCCTGTAATCCCAGCTACTTGGTCAACTGAGGCTAGAGGATTGCTTGAACTCGAGAGGGAGAAGCTTCAGTAAGCTATGATTGCACCACTGTACTCCAGCCTGGGAGACACAGTGAGACCCTGTCTCCAAAGGAAAAAAAAAAAAAAAAAAACCCAGAAACTAAAATCCAGCCAGAAAAGAGAATTATTGCTTCCTTTCTAGAGCACATGAATGGACTTTTCTTATTTAAGATGTATGCAAAGCAACTGTAACCATTAAGACCGCTCTTCAGGGGTGAAGGACTTTCAAAGAAAAGCGGATCAGACCCTGACGGCCCAGGGCTTCCCAAAGCAGCCTCTTGGGGCGGGGCCTACAGGTGAGCAGACATAAGGAAATGAGGCCCAGAGAACACATTCAAAGGGTGACTAACAGCCCTGGTTTGCCTGGGACTTTCCTGTGTTAGGCGTGGAAGTCCCTCTGTCCTGGGAAGCCCCTCTGCCTAGGGCACATGGGGACAGTGGTTAGTGGGTAGGCTCTGTGTTTGCCTTCATTCAAGGTGGTTTTGGCTGCTTGCTTGTCATTCTGAGTGTGGGGACACACATGTTATCCTGGTAGGCAGCAGGTGAGAAGGGGAGTTTGATCAGCTTCTCGCTGGATTTAGAGAAGAGCAGATGCCCCAGGCTCGTAGCTGCCATTGCCTCTGTCATTTGGAAAGTGAGAGTTGCTAAGAGGTGAGGTCAGGTGAGCAGGGACCTGCTCCTGACCCTTGCTGAGATAGTGCCTGGTGTCTGTTCACGCTGGGAGCCAGGATGGCTTCCATGGGTACACAGGTCCACATGCGAGAACTGGTGGCAGGATGGGTGAGGAAGGCCAGCTGTGTGTGTGTGTATATGTGTGTGTGTGTGTGTGAGATTCACACTAGAAAGGTGCTTTGCCACCTGGCGCAGGTGAGGCTGTGACTCCTCCTTGCCCTCCATGTCACTGAAGCTGTGGTTGCAGAGGTCCCTCGGGGCTTGTGAGCTGCTGCAAGCACTTCAAGTCTGGGGACCGTCTGTTTCCTGTCTGCTATTTATGACCCAGAACATTGTCTCTAGAACTAGCCTGCACTTCAGTCCCACAGGGAGCATGCTTGCCACTCATATCTGCCCTGCGCTATTTGCAGTTTTTGTTTGTCTTAAATATAAACTTTTCTTGGTTCTTTAAGTTTTAAAGAAAAAAGTATTCTCTTTCTTGAAGGAGAAAAGATTGATTTTTTCCCTCCTTAAATTATGTAGATAGAGATATGTCTGTACTTGGTTAGTCTCATGTGTACCAAAATGTCATTACTTATAGGAGAGCCTGGGATTTTCAAGAATAGTAACATGGTAATTTGTCTTTCAAATACTGTTTTACTTATAGCAGCAATAACAGGAAATGTGTACTATTTTTCAGTGTTATAATCTGATTCACCCTTTGATATAAACAGCTTTATCTCATCTCATTGTTTATATCACATTCCTATTCCTCTGGAAAGAACAATATTTTTCTCTCTGAAAAGTAATATATTCTTGTCTAAGGATGGCTTAAATAAGTAACAGATGGTCCTTTTTGTGTGCGTGTCCCCTACCCCCACTCAATCTCAGCATTTGATCAGATAGGAAAATCAGTATTTATTTTGAACATTACGTGTGCCTGAACTTACAGGTTTGTTACCAACCTGATGTCTTTTATTTAGGTGATGGTGTTGTTACTTGGATAGTTTTAGAATATAGGCAATTGAATAAATTTATTTGTGCTTGTCAAGTGGAATGTGCTTAACAAATCTCTTTCCTGGTTCATAGTTACCCAGGTCAGGTTAGTCACGGAAAAGATGGACTGGAATGCTCGGTGTGTGCCACATGGCCTTGGCCATGAAATAGAGTTCACTGTACACCAGGCTCTCACCATGCAACTTATTTATCACATAGTTCTACTGTTAAAATTCATGCTGGGACCGGGACTAAATGTTTCTTGTCAAAAAATAAGTTTCATTCCTTGGCTTGGTTCGGGGGAAAGGCATACAATTAGAAGCTGGGACATCTCCTTTGCTGCCTTGCTAGCTGGGTGAGTTAAGGCAAGGGCACGTAGCCACCTGGGTCTGTTTCCTGTCTACAGAAGGAGGACGCCTAACTTATCACAGGGGCTATTGAGAGTGTAACATGGGGTAATAGTTATGAAAGTGCTTTGAAAGTTCAAAAGCACCTAAAATAGCATTTTTTAAATATTAAAATCAAGCAATTAAATACGTTGCATAACAATAGACTCTTGTCTATAACATTATGGTTAATAGGTTGGCCTTGCTGTCAAACGAATTTCTTTGAAAAGACGTCTTTTCTTTGTAAAGGGAGCTTCAAGGAAAGAAACACAATATGCATAAGAGCCCTACTGCAAACTTGTATAAACTGCCACTCTGATGGGGGGATTGGTGCTAATTCATTTTTGCACTTGAGCATCAGAGTCCTTTGAGCCTAGTAGGCCCTTAAGTATATTTTGAACAAAATTGTGATTATTGTTGTGGATAAGCTATTTGTGCTCTCCGCTATCTATTTTTATAATTGTTAAAAATGATCTTTTTTTCCCTACTAGATAGAAAGTTGAGAACATGATCCCTTATGTTGACATCTTCTCTATCTGCTTGTTTTTATGGTCTGCGAATGACATTTTTTGCATGCACCATTACGAAGTACATATGTGATTATTGTTGAAAATTTGGGCCAGGCGCAGTGGCTCATGCCTATAGTCCCAGCACTTTGGGAGGCTGAGGGTGGATGGATCTCTTGAGCCCAGGAGTTCAAGACCAGTTTTGGCAACCTTGCCTCTACTCAAAATACAAAAATTAGCCAGTTTCATAACCTGATCTCAAAATAACTAACTAACTAAATAAATAAATAGATTAAAATGTAAAATGCAAGAAAAATTGAAAAATAGAGATGTACAGAAAAGAAATAAATACCCACTATCCTCCAGGTGTCATAGGATCAGATCTCCAACATATATGGTAGTGTAGAAAGAGGCAAGTCACATAACAATATTTATTATGATAGCAATTACATAAAGAAAATATGTGTACCTATTTATACAGATTCTTATGCTTCTGTATCTGTGTATGTATATGAATGGATAATAAACATATACAAAGGATGCATCAGAATGCACAGATTAAATCCAGAGAGAAAGTAGACAGAGACATTCAGAGGAGAGAGGAATCCTTGCAGGCAGGAATATGTGGGAGCTTTATGGAGGAGGCTGCATTTGAGATGAGCCTGGGAGGACTCGTATGACTTTGATAAGTACAGAGGGATGGGAAGCATCTTCCCATCAGAGCGGTATATGAAGAAAGCGTGGTGTGAGGCCTCTGTGCGGTGTGTTTGAGGGTGTATGAGCAGTCCAGTCTCTCACTGCACCTGTAGAGAGGTGAGAGAGCCTCTTGAAAAGCTGGACTAGAGAGGCTGGAGGAATGGGAAAGCCAGTTTGAAGCAGTGGGAATCAACCTTTGAAAGCTTTGGGTGAGTGAGATGAAAAATTACGATTTTTGAAGACCAATCAGGTGCTATTTAAGTAGAAAGAATTAGAGTTGGTGAAGATGAGAGGTAGTAAGGAAAATAAGAAAAAGATGGATAATCTGGGTCTGAAATGACTGATCACTGGAGAAAGATAAAGCCACTGGAAACGGAATGGAAGATGTTATGAAGAAGTCATCAAACTTGGTGCCTGGTAAGAAAGAGGTACACAGAAGAAGAAGGGACCTAAGGAAGGTGTGAGCTACAGCATTTTAAATCTAAAGGACTGTTTGATGTGATGTTGCTATTGCCAGAAGCAGGGAAGACAGAAGTTGTATTCTACATAAAAAATGTATTATATTTTTTACAAGAAAAGATCTAAATGTCAGGAGTTGGTATGTGGTTTAAATTGTCAAGATTTTAGACTGCTGCTTCTTGGAAGTGTGATAGAAAATGCTGTAATGTGGTATGTTGCTGTAAATGAGGTTTATTGATTTGGTAGTGTCAAGAAATATAACACCTCAAAAATAGGCAGACTAGAGAAAAGGATACCTCACTGGCAGGTGTGGGTGCCACTGTATGATTTTCTAGCACCAAAACGCACGACAAGCTAGCAGTGTTGGTGCTGGTGCAGATTATATGGAAAGCAGCCTGTGGTTTTTCCAAGCCCATTGGATGGGAAATCTATGTCCACCTGCTGTTCGCACCCTGACTCTGGCCATTTCTAATGCATATGGCGATTCTTCATGGCATGTGGGAGAATAGATGACCTTCTCCATTTTTTTTTTCTTTTTGTCAAATGAGTTTCACAGGTATATAATAAGATCTTGATTTACTTTTTTAAGGAAAAAGAGGACAATAATAAGAGGCTGTGATTTGAGGGTGAGAAACAAAAGGGCAGCTCCAGGGAGGGTGAGTCAGGAATGACCAAGAAGAAAGATCTGGAAATCTACTGGCTTCCTGCAGTGCTTGTGGCTTATTGATCCTGGCCCCATAGAATCTTCAGACTAACACAACTAACTGTCCTTTCATGGCAGGAGATATTTGAGAATCTGGTGGGAAATTTTGTTTTTTAGTACACTTACGTTGTTTGAGGCAGCTTGCTTCCATTTTTCTATCATTTATGTAGCTGAGATAATGTTGTGAAAGATTTTTCATCAATTAAATTAATATATACTATGAAACAGATACAAATTTGATATGTTTAACAATGAAGTATAGCTTTAAAATGTCTTTTAAAAATCACAAGTTAGAATAGTTGTGATCACAATCAGAACTAATTTTTTTTACGGTAAGAATAACAAATATATTTATGGCTATTATCATCTTTTCCTGAACACAGATATTGGCCCTTTAAGAATTATACTTTAAAATCATTAATTATACTTAAAATCATTAAGATGAAAGTTGATTTCTTATCTTTTGGTATTAATAAAGAGAGTATTTCTGGAATTGTAAGTAGAAGTAGGCAAGGAATATGTTTCAATTTTTAAAGTGTTTTGTATGATTTTATCAGTTACCAAAAAGCATGTGCTTTTGTTATTAACCAGTTCTGTTATTTCATTTATGCACAATAGTAACATTCTGAAATTGTACCTGCAACAAGCCATAATTGACAACCTTAAGACCACATTAGGGGCGTTATTGGATAAGAAACAAAAGTTGCTTTGAGTCCTCAGCTCTCAGCGGTGCTGAGTTTCCTTTCCTGTAAGCCTGAGGATTGGCAAATCTTCAGCCTGACTTAGAGAGAGACTCTTCCCACAGCTATTTCCCTTCAAAGCGCATTCTTAGCGGCGCTTCTGTCATCCGGAATTCTTCCTCTAAGAGCCAACATGCTCTCTTTTCAGGTTTTCTTTTTCTTTTTCTCTATATTGAGTTGACTCTCAATTGGTGGCTTGAGAAAATACCAAAGATCTTTTTCGTTTTTGCTGCAACTGGATCACGAACACTGATTTTCCACGTAAAAACTGGCTGTGCGGGGCCGGGCGCAATGGCTCACGCCTGTAATCCCAGCACTTTGGGAGGCTGAGGCGGGCAGATCACGAGGTCAGGAGATCGAGACCATCCTGGCTAACACGGAGAAACCCCGTCTCTACTAAAAATAAAAATAAAATAAATAGCCGGGCGTGGTGGCGGCGCCTGTAGTCCCAGCTACTCGGGAGGCTGAGGCAGGAGAATGGCGTGAACCCGGGAGGCGGAGCTTGCAGTGAGCTGAGATCCGGCCACTGCCCTCCAGCCTGGGTGACAGAGTGAGACTCCGTCTCAAAAAACAAAACAAAGCAAAACAAAACAAAACCGGCTGTGTGTGCATGAGTTTGTGGGGCAGGCTCTGCAGGGTGAGTCGCCACTGCTGATAGCAGGAATGTGTACGTGGGGAAAATCTGAGGGAGCAGTCCCCCCTTTTTCAGAAATTGTCCTTGTTGTTGACCTTCACCTGTCTGGGAGGGGCCTGAAGAACCTAGGTCTCCAGGTGACCCCTCGGGAGATGACACACTACACGTTTTGGTACAGAGTAGAAAAGAGGTCTCTGATGAATGGTTGTCATACACACCCACCTTTGAGCTTCAGAATCCTATGCCTTGGAAGGAAAATAACTTTGGTTTTGGATGTCAACTGGAAGAGACAGCCAGGGACCCTTACTGTATCTGCATTATTTTCTACTGACCAGTCCATTTGCTGCCCTGCCCAAAGACAGTCACAGCATTTAGTGAGATAAATGCCTTAGAATTCAGACAATCCTGGCAACATGCAAGAAACTTCTTAAATAAAATAATCTCTAATGTGACATGCACCGATAGTCACAGAAAGTGGAAAGGACTTTTCCTCACCATGTTGCAAGGTTGTCATCTGCCATTGGCTTAACTCTTTGAAAGATATTCAGATCTTGCCCATGTACATTTCAATCTGCTATCATTGCCTATTTATGGAAGAACATTTAGTATAAGAGGATTAATATGTACTTGTTTTAATTACATGTTAAACCATGTGAATATATACAGGATTACTATATAGATTCTGAATAAATAAAGGATAAACTAAAATTATTCTCGTTAACCCAAGGTTCTAACCCAGAGTTATCATAGCTAATGGAATGTGTTTGACTTTCCCAGCCATTCGTCAGTGGGTAGAACCACCATTAAATTCACTAATAGCTTTAGTTTTAAGCTGCAAACTAAATTAGGTTCAAACTAATTAGGCATACAGCCTTTTTAAAAATTCATATTTCTTTGTTGTTGATAACTACTTTTCTTCCTAAGGATCAAAATAACAATATCATTCATTTACAGTGGTTTCCCTCCTTTAAATAAATGATTTTCTAATATACCTCAAACAACTTTAATTTCTTAGCTTTTACACTCTTTTCCAAATAAATTCTGGGAAGTTCCCTGCATCCCTAAATATGAAGAAGCAATGATGTAATCCCAGAGAATGTTCTCTTTGGCCATCATAGGCCTAGCATCTTACTGTTAATCTTTCCTAAGAAAAACACGTCTTTCCTCTTGAAAGCTTGTGACTTTAAAAATAACAACTGTAAAGTGTTTTCATGTGGTAAATGCTCATCACAAATTATTATTTTTTCCCTGAATCCTACTGTGTTCCTTCTTGAAGAACGGGAGAAGGGGGAGAAGTTCGTTATGTGGTCCACCCATTTAGGACACAATCATTTGCACTAATTTAACGCTTCCTGGGGAGATGTTACTAATTCTTTATTAGATGATCAGTTACGAAGACCGTTGTTAAAAAAACAAACCTCTCATGGGAAATACAGCCCTGCTAGGCTGAAGCAGAAAGAAAACCTTAACTTTGTTTAGAATCTGGACACTTTGACCCGTGAACTTTAAGTTCCTTTCCTGTAGGGTTCTTTAAAGCCATGGTGGCTGAGATAGACTCCCAGTGCTATGCCTGAGTACAAGCAGCTGCAGGTTGACTTTTGAGAAGCTGGACTGTGATTATGCTGCTACGAAGAAATAAAAAACAAAATTTCCCTGTGGTACACAACGGAAGTTTTGTGTGATGGTGGTCTATGATTCAATTATTCCTGTCCAAATTATTCCGTTCTCTGATGAACAAAGACCTTATCAAGGATCTTTTCACAATTAAAAGCTCACTGAAAAGAAGAGAAGGGCTAATAATACACAAACACACATAGGTAGGTACCATACATACATACACATATGTACACACACACAAGACACACAACCTATAGCCATACGTAAATGAAGTTGCGTTTTTGCACTTGCTATCCTTGGCTGCTTCAGAGGCTGTGGAATTCTATACCAAGAGATGAAATGGTCTCCAACTGGTAAAAAGTCTATTTAATGGGCTTTGTGGAGCAGAGACAAAGATCATATGTGAGATAGTGTACGAGTACAGTAAGAATGCCCTCTGCTTACTTGATCTGTTGATATTAGAGTCTAATAGTTCTGTTAGCTTAAATTGTGGAAATATCCACTTTCTCATCTACTCTGGGGGTCTTCAACTGAGCCAGGGTCAAGTCTAGACTCCCTGGGAGGAGTAGAAAGCCCTTGTGGTAAAAATAACATGCAAGCCAGCACTTTAAACTGAAAACAAAAAAATATATGAAGCTAACCAACTCAGTTTGCTGATTCTGTCCTCCAGGTCCTGGAGATAATTGTACTAATGTCAGGGAAACAGAGGGTTTTCCAGGTGTGCTCGTGCAAAGATTGTGCAGATCATTAACATTAACTGTGAGGTGTGTTCACAGTTGTTTTTGGAAAACATATCTGAGTAAGGAAAAGACAATTTAAACAAGACGTCAAAATTGGAAGTCATAAAACATGTGATCGATTAGACTCAACCAAAAATTTAAATTCCATTACAAAACCACCACAGTGTCAAAATACAAAAGGTAAACTAGAAACCAACATTGAAACATGATACGGAACAATTACTATTTATGATATGCAAAGAGGTTTTAAAACTCTGTGATAAAACCTCCAACAGAAGAATGGGCAAGTGATATGAGCAGGCATAGAAAACAAGAA